GGGGGGCGCGCCCCCGGCCAGCCGGGGTGAGCGGCGGGGCCCTGCGGGGGGACGAGCTGCGGGCACAGCCCTGGTGCCTGAGCTGGCCCGGCAAGCGGTGTCTGCTGGGTGATGTCTTCAGTGAAACCCCTTCCCTGAAAGGTCCTGCAGCAGCCTTTGTCAGCAGTGTGAACTTCTCTGTCACGCTCAGTGGTGATGAGTCCAAGGACGTCCAGTACAAACAACACACCTGCCTTAAGATTTTGGTAGTACCTGTCCGTGTGTCAGAGAGGGCACATGAAACATAGATGTGATTGATTCTGAAGGGGGGTTATTTTTTATTCTGTTATTTGCAGGTCATACAGACATTGATTTTGTCTTACCTGTCTTTTGGGGAGGGTCTTTTTACAGGGCTTGCAGTGAAAGCACAAAGGGTAATGATTTTAAGCTGATAGAAGAGAGATTTAGGTTAGAGATCAGGCATAAATTCTTCAGTGTTAGGGTGGTGAGACACTGGAACAGCCTGCCCAGGGATGTTGTGGGGCTCCATCCCTGGAGGTGTTGGAGGGCAGGTTGGATGAGGCTCTGAGCAGCCTGTTGTAGTGGGAGGTGTCCCTGCTCATGCAGGGGAGTTGGAACTGGGTGATCTGTAAAGTCCCTTGCAACTCCAGCCATTCTGAGATTCCTGTAAAGCAGGAGCAGACAGTTCAGTGCCACTTAAAGGCAGGATGACCTTAAGTCTGTAGCAGGCTTTTTGTTCCATTGGGCATTCCTTCCAGCTGCATCTTCCTGTGAAGTTGCCATCAAATCTGCAAATCTGCTCTAGGTGTGGACATGGAGTCTGGGTGCTACTCCCCAAAAAATGCAGCCTGCTTCAGTGTCGTTGTCATCTGCTTTTAGGCAAGATGATATTTTGGGTGACGAGGGCAGTACGACTTTTTACATTCTCAAGTACAAAAAGAAACTAAAAATAAATAAAGAGTATGAAGTTGGTGATTAATTTGTAAATGGGTGTCCACAGTCATGTGGACAGACAGACTGTTCTCTGCAGTGGTTGAGCTAGCAGAGCTGAGGTATAAAACAAAACTAAATTCACAGAGGAGGAAGATCAGCAAGAATCTGCAAGAATTCCTTGGGTCCTGTGTACTGCTAAGAATTTTTTTTCACTGCTTGTCTTCAGAAGCAGTTCTGGAAGTCTGTGGTGAAAGTCAAATGAAAGATGTGAAATTGAGATGAGCCATTGATCTCATAGTCTTCAAAAGGCATGAATGCTTTTTAGGTTGTTGGTCATCATATTTTAGATGGGTGTCTGCCATATCTGAAGTGAGCATTCAGAAGAGTTGCTCTAGGTGGAGCGAGGTCATGTTACTGGAAAAACTGTTCTACTGTAGCAGGAAGATGAGTTTACACAAAATGTGCCATTTTTTACTTTGAAAAAGACTGCTTAAGGACAAGACTTATTCTCCAGGGAACTACCTTTTCACAGAGTATCATCTTGAAATATTGCATTTTGTTAATCTCTGAAAAATGTACTAGGAAAACATGAGTTAAGCATGTGTGGGGAGTTGGAGAGCCAGACATAACTACACTAGCAACGAAACTTGTAGTCATTAGAGTTGTGGTCTTTTTAAACTTAAAAGTGTTCAGGTTCAAATACCATGAAGAGACTCATTAACTATGTGTGAAAGTAGGTTACATGCATTAATATATAAATATGATTAAGTTGTGTTTTTTTTCTTTTTTTCTTTTGTCTTTTTTTAAGCTTACTCATTTTTTTTCCTCGGGCTTACAAGATGTAAAGAAACAAAAATACATATACCTGGTTCTAGTATGGCACATTAAGAAACACATTTGTGTTACCTACCTTTGGAGAGCCTAACTTTTGCCTGCTGCCTCTTTCTTTATCACTCCAGGATCTATGTCTTAGTCCAGCTGGTCTTCACGTTGGGTAGAATTGGTCAGGTAGGTTGCCAATGTCGGAGCATTATGAAGAAGTGATGTTTCAGTGGCTCTTTGTGGAGATAAAATTCATCTCCAGCCTGTACCTAATCTATGCAAGTCCCATTTATTTTGAGTGTTGGTTTTTCAAATAAAATGATCGGTTTAGGTTTCTATATAAAGACTTATTGCAGCAGACTCAAGGATTTTATGTCCTTGTATTTTAAGGATAGGTGATTCCACTGCATGCTCTGCTATCACAGGCTGTTACACTCACTAAATGCCAATTGATTTTGGTTGCTTTCTTTTGAAAAATTTCAATATAAGGCTCAGAAATAGCCACTAACTAATTTCAGAAGTAAAACTTGGAAGAAGAATGAGCAGGTGTGTGGAGCTTAGACCCAGCAGTGAAGCAGTGGCAGTGGTGTTTTCTGTAACAGCTGTGTCATTATGGATTGTGGCTGTGGGCAAGTTGGTGGGCGAGTTCATAAGCTGTGTAGGGTTTTCATGAGTGCTTCGTTTAGGGTGTGAGTAGGAAAATAAGTAGGCATGGACTTTCTGAGGGGGTGGTTGGGTGTGAGCAGAGTCTATGTGTGCTGAAGGATTAGTGCAGCCACAGAGCGTTACCTGTTCTGGAGTTTTGCATGGAAGCTGTTTGGCTGACTGGTTATGAGTAGGACACTTATAAATTATAGTGATGTGGCTTCCCTCTGGTTATTTGGCAACTGGATTGTCCATGCAGTTAAAAAATGGTGTCTTCAGTGGGGAGAGGACAAAAGACGTGAAGGGGATGCAGAAACACGTGGAATTGTTACTGGTGTCACAAGTCCCATTTGCCTTTCTTGTCCATAGGCTTGCTTCTGAAGGGCAGAAAAAAAATTAAACACCTGTTTCATGAATAATTTTTCAGTAAGACTTTAAACTTTTTGTGGTAGTTTGATTCTTGAGGTGTTGCCTCAACTGCCGAATGCCAAGTTGCTTGTAGCTCTCTGAGGGCAGTGAGGTCTGGGGTGATTGTGTGAATTCCTACAGAGTTGCCATGTATTTGCAGGTTTATCTAATCCCTCTGCGTGCCCCTGGAGCAAATCCTGTCCTTTACAAAATACAGAAGTTCTTCCTGCATATATCTCCAACATCTTGTGGTAAGTTCTTGAGCCTGAGAAAAGCAGGATTCCTCAGGAAGAGACTGCCATAGGACAAAGTGTGGTTTGGCTCAAAGTGGTGTTGCTGTACATCCCAGAGAAATGAAATTCCATCCAGTTTAGATCCTAATTTTCTCTTCTGTAACAAATCAGCTAGAAGCCTACACTTTTCGTAGCTCCTTTTGTCCTGACAGTTGCCCTAATGTACATACAGTTCTATTGCCCTGGTGTAATTTGTTTAGTTTGCAAGCCTAGTGTAAATCGTGGTGGTGCTTTTACCAGAAGAAACCGTGCTTGCACTAGTAAGTGTGGCGTAAGTGGTAGCATAGATCTGCAAACTTTTTATAGGACTGATTTGGTCCAAGTATTCCTGGTATCCTCAACAGTAGCAGCAGATGTTCTCATCTGAACAAATCTGTCCCTGTCTGGCATGAGTTGTTCCTGGCCAGCTGAAACTTGCAACTCCTAATATTTTGCTAGTGTACTGTCTGCCAGCCTGTATCAAAGGGAGCATGTGGGAACTACCCTAACAAAGACGGTTTTAAGCTAAAATTCTTTAATTCTTTAATTAATTTAATGTTGCTATATAGGGATTGTGCTGCTGTATTAGAAAGTAAATTAAGATGTGTTTGTTATTTCAGCATGTTTTGTCTTTGGTTTTCACACATCTGTGTGAACAGATTACAGATGTGTGTTTGTATTTTAGACTGTTCACCAAGGCTTTTCTAACTTAGTAATGGACCAGTTACCATATTTTCATCTTTTTCCAGATAAGCATAACATAGCTAAACAAAATAAAAATGGAAAATTAAGTTAATATTATTTTCTATTTAC